GCAGCTTATCTGGCATTTCTACAGTGACATGTTTACGAGGCATCTAGTTAATGTCATTGGTTGTGTTTGCACCTGCGCAGTATTTGAGGCAATGCGAATATATTCACTAAAACAAAGCTGAATGGCCTTTTCAAAATCAAACTGGCAGCAAATCCCTTAACTGCAGTGATAGAGGTCAAAGGTTCAAGGCACCAGCCACCTAACACATTTTCTTAAGGCTGCAACAGATAAGATGGTTTGGCCAGTATGGTGGAGGTTGGGCCCCCTGCCTCAATAGGGGAGTGAACATTCCAGCTCCTGTAAGACTACTGCTTAGGTGTGTGTGAGATTGTCTCTCTGTTTGTATGTGTGAGTGAGTGAGTGTATGTGTGTGTGTGTTTGATTCTGTGCATATGTGTGCATTTGTAGATATGTTTGTGTGTGTGTGATTCTGTGTGTGTGTGTGTGTGTGTGATTTTGTGCGCACATGTGTGTGTTTATTTTAAACTAACTTTCGCAATGATTGCAAAAATGATGAGAGGTGAGCGTCTGAGAAGAAACAAGACTAAACACAAATGTTGACAACAAAGGTCCTGAAATCCCCATGCTATTTTGCGGAAGACTTTTTTTTTTTTAATGCGTGCGGGTCTTGCTAGTCACACTCGTCATCGCTATGGGTTGTAAGTCCCATTCCTTCTCATAGCGCTAAATAACACTGTTGTCTGGAAAAACGGAAAGGTGCCAATCAATGACTTTCTCAAGAGAAGCAGCTAGCCAAGTGGCCGAATCCTTAGGCTTTCATGCCTAGTGTTTGGGGGATGGGGGGGGGGGGTCCCATGATGACTTACTAGCCTCACATCCCCAGGTTCTCCCCCTCCATGTTCCCCGTCACCTTATAAGTGGGAAATACAGTCAGGAAAGAAACTTTGTCTTTCTCTTCATCGCATCTCTACTGATCATTATTCTTATTTTCCTGCTAACTATCATTCTGTGTCTCTCTCCCTAAAAATACTACAATCCTTCCATCTTTCCCTCTAATCTACCAATCTCCTCCTATCGCTCTGTTTCATCCTGCAGACCTGAAGCAGTTTAAAAACAACAAAATACAAGAAACAATCCAAACTTCTTTCGCCCTCTGCCTCCTGACACGGCGCAATTTACAACCAGAAGCCATAACCAATACATGAAACATAAAACATTCATCTCTACTTTGTGCAGAATTGTCAAACATAAACATTCCTCAATGAATCTGCAAGACTGCAGACTTTGTAGTTTTAGCAATCAAGAAATGGGACTACAGCAACGACATGCTGTAGGGAATACTTCACCTTGTTCTGTCTGCATGCAGACTGAGGACAATGAAAATACTGGGGAACTAACATGATCTCCCCCAAACCAGAGGAACTAACAGTATCTATCCCACTACCGGAGGAACTTACAACATTTATCCCTTTAAATATGAACTAACACAAGCTATTCCTCTACCAGAGGAACTAACAGTATCTATCCCACTACCAGAGGAACTAACAGTATATATCCCTCTACCAGAGGAACTATCGGTATCTATCCCACTACCAGAGGAACTAACAGTATATATCCCTCTACCAGAGGAACTAACAGTATCTATCCCACTACCAGAGGAACCAACAAGATCAAACCAACTAACAAGATCTCTCCCTCAATCAAACCAACTAACAAGATCTCTCCCTCAATCAAACCAACTAACAAGATCTCTCCCTCAATCAAACCAACCAACAAGATCTCTCCCTCAATCAAACCAACCAACAAGATCTCTCCCTTAATCAAACCAACCAACAAGTTCTCTCCCTCAATCAAACCAACCAACAAGATATATTTCTGATGAACCAGATGAACAAAATCTATCCCCCGACCCGAGGAACTAACAGTACTTATCCCACTACGAAAGGAACTAACAAGATCCACCCCCCCCCCCCAACCACCAGATGACCAACCCAGGGGCACACTTCAACAGAGTAGAGTAAATATATTATAGACCCCTGTGTGGGTTCCGGGGCCCTACTATGGGAAAAACAAGAATAGACCCACTGCCTACCCAAAAGCATGTCGTAAGAATCAACTAATTGGGTGCTTCCTTCAAAGTCGGAGTGCACCTGCCTGAGAGGCAAGGAACCAACAGTCTGCATACAGATCTGTCAAATGGATGCACACGCAACCCTCAGGTTCTGGAACAGGACTGCAGTCCAGAAGTGGATGAACAACCAGAACTTTCCTCCAGAGTTTACAGCCGGTGAACGCGAAGAAGAAGAAGAAGAAGAAGAGGAGGAGGAGGAGGAGGAGGAGGAAGAAAAAAAAAAAGAAGAAGAAGAAGAAGAAGAAGAAGAAGAAGAAGAAGAAGAAGAAGAAGAAGAAGAAGAAGATATATCATAGACACATTAAAGATTTTAGCAGACATGGCACCTGATCATTTATTGATAAAATAAACAAAATAATTCTTTGTGAAGTTATTTACAGACATGAATGAATAGGATTCACTCATTTATAATATGCACGATTTCCCATGTGGGTTCCGGGGTCCCACTGTGGGGAAAATAAGAACAGACCCACTGCCTACCCAACAAGTATGTCATAAGAGTCAACTAATTGGCAGCTTCCTTTAAAGTTGGAGTGCATCTGCCCCAAGCAGCAAAAAACAACCAACTACACACAAATAAGCCAGTAAAATGGATGTACACGCAAAACTCACACCCTGGGATATAGCCAAAGTCCAAATGGACGAACAACCGGGACTTTTCGCCAGAGCTTACAGCAGGTCAACAAACAAGTAGTAGTATAAATGAACTGGGCATTTATCTACTAATTTATATACACACATGAACATGGAAACTGAAATTTATGGATATAACCAACATCCCTTTATAGATAAAATGAACAAGGCATATGCTTTATAGACATAATTAAGAAGGCAGCTGTTCATTTATAGATATATGGCAAGTGATAATGTATACATGTGAATGAACCTGGTAAATGCTCAATTAGAGATACAAGAAACATGGCAAATGGCCAAGTCAATGAACATTAAAACTACCTACAGATACAATGTATATTGTAAACGTTCATTTATTAATAAACAAATGTAACAAGATACTGAACATAATGCCAAAAGCCCATTTATATATGTAATGAAAATTGCAAGTGTCAATTTCTAGATATAAATGTCCATATGTAGATATAAATCAAATAAACTCAGCTAACAGACACAAGGAGAATGTCCATTTATAGAAATAGACCATATAAACTCAATTTACCTACATATGAGAATGTCAATTTACAGAAATAGACCATATAAACTCTAAATTTACAGACATATGAGAATGTCCATTTACAGAAATAGACCATATAAACTCTAAATTTACAGACATATGAGAATGTCCATTTACATAAATAATTAACACAAATGTCTGTGTGTGCACTTTGTAACAGTCTGATTTGTCATTTATACATTAAAATATATATATATATATTTCTCTTGTTAGTTGCAATCCTTCACACGACCTTGCAGAACCAAATCCAGCATTTTTTGGTTTTTGGATGTTGTGGTTTTTCTAGGCACATTTATGTTCAGTAGTTTGCCACTTCCGCCTGAACAGTCGATTCTCAATACCACTGTTGAAACCAACTCAAGCCGGACTGCTGCCAAATCGTCTGCAGCTAGGATCGATCCCAGCACCTCAGAATTATGAAGCACATTTGCAAAGCCTAAGCCACAGACATATATCTCTATAAATTTTAATGAAAAGAATAAAAAGAACATTTATATATCTTATACCGATTTATAAAAGAATATAAAGAACTACATTGTGCCTCATTAACCCTTTTAGCCCGGGAAGTTGGAGACCGGCACTTTCGGTAGATTCCAATTGCCTTAGCCTAGGTTGGCAGATGGTCTAAAAGAAACGCCAGCAGGCAGACAAGAGTACCGCTTTTCTGTTCCGGCAACATCTACAGCATGCTTTGCTCCATGCATGTTAGGTGTTTCATTTCCTTCAGAGTTCCCTGGCATAAACTGGTATGACCACGGGGAAGTGATTGCTGTTCCTCCCTAGAATGGAACAACGGAACACTATCGTTTGTGATGAAAGCATCAGCAATCTCGAGTTTTGTATGAGTGGCTCTTGTACAAGCGGCTCTCTTGGGTGGCTCTTGTACAAGCGGCTCTCTCGGGTGGCTCTTGTACAAGCGGCTCTCTCAGGTGACTCTTGCACAAGCGGCTCTCTCAGGTGGTTCTTGCACAAGCGGCTCTCTCAGGTGGCTCTTGCACAAGCGGCTCCCTCAGGTGGCTCTTGCACAAGCGGCTCCCTCAGGTGGCTCTTGCACAAGCTGCTCTCTCACAGTGCTCTTGTACAAGTGGCTCTCTCAGGTCGTCTTGTACAAGCGACTCTTGTTCGCTTGCATATTTATTCCCGTTGCCTCTAACACACGTTTCTAGTTTGTGCTCTTTATACCAAGTGTGCAGAAGTTTCCTAAATCATTTGTTGTCAAGACCCAATATTTGTTTGTTTTTTCCTGTAGTGAGAATCTCCCAGACATAACCGACTATGGATAACGTGGTTTGTAGTTTGATCACGACAGCAGAGCTGGTGTTGTTCTGGTTTTTAAAAACAGGATTCAGTCTTGTTACAGATTGTGAGATGACCTGGAGTCTTGCTGTGATCTTTCTACTTGACCATACCTTTTTCTCCAGGCCTTTTTTTTTCTAGAAAAAAAAGTTTTTAGTCCTCAATATAAAGGTCTTTAAAAAAATAGGCCAGTACTTGCCAAGGTGTCTATTACAGAAGAACTGAAAAACAATAACCAACAATGTACGAGTACTGTGCACATACTGAGTACTGCAGAAAAAAGCCCGCCTAACTCAAGGGTCAGGGCAAGTTAATGTCCTTACATACCTAACTCACTCAAAGGTCAGGGCAAAGTTCATATCCCACTAACCTAACTCAAAGGTCAGGGCAAAGTTCATATCCCCCACACACCAAACTCAATGATCAGGGCAAAGAAGGACTTGCGAAGCGTGTGCTCTGATTCGACTGAGATGATGAATATCTATCATCTGAACTGTACACATCCTGGGGCTGGCCTTGGGAGTAGGGACTGCCAAACTGCCTGTTATTCACCACAAGAGACTGCAGCAGTTGATGCTGCCGACTTTCATGGAGGTTCAGTACCCCCTGATCTTGTGCAATCATAGGCTGCTGCTGCTGTCGGAGTGCGCCGGACCCATACCCGGACGAGCTGGATTGAGAATTATAAAACAGCTTCTGCTGGGAACCGATGCTGGCACTGTAAGGTGGAGGTGCTGGAGTGGAACAGCCGACGCCCAATCCACTGTATTCAGGTACCGCTCCATGAGACGTCTGGCTGTACTCTGTCTGATCCTGGATCTGGTGGCTGTAGTCGATGGGCACTGCATCTTGGAAGGGAGAAGCCGGCACGTTATAGTGCTGCAGTAGCTTCTTCACAATTTCACTGGAGGAGGGGTCGTTCTTGTACTGCACTAGAGACTCATCATAGTCATCCTGTGGGTAGTCTTCTTCATTCTGAGCAGGCACGGTGTAGGAATATTCCGAGGAATGCTGCTGAGGAGAGTAGTAAGTTCTAGAGCTGTGGCCACTGTTGGAGTAGCTGTGCGAACTGGCATACTGCAAGTTCTTCTCGGCTGCTGCACTTGAAGGTAAGGAAGTGGCCAGGTTTTGGCTGTCTGTCGGGTAGGTGTCTACACTAGAGGCCCGTGAGGCATACTGGTTTTGCTTGTAGAAGCCATGTGGTGAGGATACATCTGCGTGTGGTGATAAGAACTTCTGTTGTACCACATTCTGGCTGTACCCAACTGCACTGCCGTAGTAATCATTGGACAGAGTTTCCGACACTAAAGTGTAGTTGTCCCCAGATGGCACAAATCCTTGGTTCCCTTGCTCCGGAGGCAGCAGACTCTGAGTTGTGGTCCCAGATCTCAAAATCTCAGAACTGATACTACGATCACTCACATCAGGACTGGCCACATTTGTTCTGAAATGTTTCGAGGCTAACCTTGTCTGCCCAAGGTTCTGCCACTGACTGGACACCTCGGATTTAAACTCTGCCTGCTCGTGCAGGTTGGCCACCTGATTCCTATGGATATCGCTCATCTGCTGATTGCCCTGTGCTGGGTTCTGATCCGGCTGTTCAGATTCCACGGTCTCCAACACTGGCCCCGTCTCTTTCTTCTTCTTAACTCGTCGAGATTTTTCTCCGCTTCCGTCAACCCCTCCACTCAGCCGAGGCTTTTTGAAAGTTGGCGGGTACTCGATCTTCCCATCAACGATAGGAAAAGGCTCTAGCTCTCCTCTCTTCTCGTGGCTTTTCTTGTGCGAGACGTAAGACCCTGAGTGAGCAAACATGGTGTGGCAGATTTCACACGTGTAAGGACGTTCCCCGGTGTGGGTCCGCTCGTGAGAACGCAGCTCCTGCATTGTGTGAAACCCCTTATCGCAGTAACTACAAAATTTTGTCTTAATATCACTATGGCGGCGCATGTGAAGCATGTAACCATTTTTTGAGTTCAACAAGGTGCTGCACAGTTCACATGCGTACTTCCCATCAATCTTCAAGGCTTTCGGGTGCGATTTTTCTTCCCCTGAACAGATAGGTTCTGTAATACGGTTGCTCTTAACAACCGGAGTTGAGATAGGCTTGGGAATATTATCGGCATGAAACTGTGGCACTGTCGGCATAAAAGTCTGTGGGGAATTAAAGTGGAACTGACTGTCTGCAACATTTTGAAACTTCATAACCGTAAGATCTGCATAATCTTCATCAGGATTGCTTGACATTCGCGATGTGACTGGGCGGGAGTCAGCAGTGACTGAAGAACCTGGAAAAAGTGTTTTCTGGCAAACATTCTGCTCATATCCTAGTGCAGACTGTTCAGTCTGGTGACCAGCAAAGTGTGACATGTTCACAGTGTTGTCTGTCTGGTCCAGTTTATCTTCACCTGCAAGTCTCGTAGATTCATATGTGCCCAGAAGTAAATTATCACCAGTTAGAATTCCTTCATCACTCGTGTGGCCTTCAGTCTTCCTCTGAGCGGCCGCCAACTTCTTCTCGGCCTTCAGGCGTCTCAGCTCCTCCACCTGCTGATGCGCAGCTTCCTGCTTGGAGATGGCAGCCTTGTCGTGGACTGTTGCAGCGTGGTCTGAGGTTGACGAATTTCTTCTCTGTCGTTTGGGCTCACTCGGAGACTTGATATGTGCTCCTGGTGATAGAGTTAAGGCACCTGATGGCTTCAGCGGAGCACCATCTGGGGACTTCACCTGGGGACCTGGGGTATTCCCTTGTGAAAGTTGCAAAGGGTCAGAACTTGATAAGTCCTCATACTTAGGACCTGAAATGAACATTAAAGCAGATACAAGTTAAATGTTTTAATAAATCTTTCTCTTCTTCACGTTTACGACATACTTGTTAGGGTGGCCGTAGGTCTACCCCCCCTCTCCTCCTCCACCATGGAACCCCGGAAACCGTGTGGCAGTGGTAGTCATGTGTGTCCACCACCTTGTCTTGTGTACTTTCAATCATTTTGACACAAATGATCTTGCATGCCACAATGTCAAACTTCTCCTCTGCCTCTTTTGACCTTCCTTTTCCATGATTTACTCCAATTTTCTTTTTCTTATGACATGGCCGAAGAATGCAGACTGTTTCCTTCTGAAAAGGCCAATCAGTCCTCTTCGTGAGTGAGTTTCGTTAAAGACATCTTTATTACTCTTTCTTTTCTGTGGGGGTATTTTCATCATTATTCTATAAAACCACATCTTCGCGGCTTCTAAATAATTTTTCACTAATCATTTAAGTGTCCATGATTCACTTCTATATATCAGGATAGGAATAATGTAGCTCTTGAGAATTCTCTTTTTCATCTCACTGACCCCCCAAAAAAATCTTCATTTGATGAAATCCTACTTTTGCATGAGCTATTGAACATTTTACTTCTTTAATACATTTTCCATCCGATACATCATCACGCTTCACTACATATCCTCCTGCACTGACAGCCAATGATCCTGAGTGCAATGGTAGGGGAAAGGGATCCTGCTTCAGTGCTGGGATTGAAGCTAGCCACTGTCTGTGCAGGCAGGCATGCCAACTTACCCTTAAGCCGTGAGATATATCATCAATATAACTCATACGCATCATCACCATAAATGTCCACTTTTGCCGATATACATTGTGGGGAAGAACAGTTTGCGACCCCAAGCTTGACTAGTAGCAACAGATACTGTCATTCTATGTCAATGTCAGTTTGTGACCCCAAGCTTGACTGCTAGCAACAGCTACTGTCATTCTATGTCAATGTCAGTTTGTGACCCCAAGCTTGACTGCTAGCAACAGCTACTGTCATTCTATGTCAATGTCAGTTTGTGACCCCAAGCTTGACTGCTAGCAACAGCTACTGTCATTCTATGTCAATGTCAGTTTGTGACCCCAAGCTTGACTGCTAGCAACAGCTACTGTCATTCTATGTCAATGTCAGTTTGTGACCCCAAGCTTGACTGCTAGCAACAGCTACTGTCATTCTATGTCAATGTCAGTTTGTGACCCCAAGCTTGACTGCTAGCAACAGCTACTGTCATTCTATGTCTATGTCAGTTTGTGACCCCAAGCTTGACTGCTAGCAACAGCTACTGTCATTCTATGTCAATGTCAGTTTGTGACCCCAAGCTTGACTGCTAGCAACAGCTACTGTCATTCTATGTCAATGTCAGTTTGTGACCCCAAGCTTGACTGCTAGCAACAGCTACTGTCATTCTATGTCAATGTCAGTTTGTGACCCCAAGCTTGACTGCTAGCAACAGCTACTGTCATTCTATGTCAATGTCAGTTTGTGACCCCAAGCTTGACTGCTAGCAACAGCTACTGTCATTCTATGTTAATGTCAGTTTGTGACCCCAAGCTTGACTGCTAGCAACAGCTACTGTCATTCTATGTCAATGTCAGTTTGTGACCCCAAGCTTGACTGCTAGCAACAGCTACTGTCATTCTATGTCAATGTCAGTTTGTGACCCCAAGCTTGACTGCTAGCAACAGCTACTGTCATTCTATGTCAATGTCAGTTTGTGACCCCAAGCTTGACTGCTAGCAACAGATACTGTCATTCTATGTCAATGTCAGTTTGTGACCCCAAGCTTGACTGCTAGCAACAGCTACTGTCATTCTATGTCAATGTCAGTTTGTGACCCCAAGCTTGACTGCTAGTAACAGCTACTGTCATTCTATGTCAATGTCAGTTTGTGACCCCAAGCTTGACTGCTAGCAACAGCTACTGTCATTCTATGTCAATGTCAGTTTGTGACCCCAAGCTTGACTGCTAGCAACAGCTACTGTCATTCTATGTCAATGTCAGTTTGTGACCCCAAGCTTGACTGCTAGCAACAGCTACTGTCATTCTATGTCAATGTCAGTTTGTGACCCCAAGCTTGACTGCTAGCAACAGCTACTGTCATTCTATGTCAATGTCAGTTTGTGACCCCAAGCTTGACTGCTAGCAACAGCTACTGTCATTCTATGTCAATGTCAGTTTGTGACCCCAAGCTTGACTGCTAGCAACAGCTACTGTCATTCTATGTCAATGTCAGTTTGTGACCCCAAGCTTGACTGCTAGCAACAGCTACTGTCATTCTATGTCAATGTCAGTTTGTGACCCCAAGCTTGACTGCTAGCAACAGCTACTGTCATTCTATGTCAATGTCAGTTTGTGACCCCAAGCTTGACTGCTAGCAACAGCTACTGTCATTCTATGTCAATGTCAGTTTGTGACCCCAAGCTTGACTGCTAGCAACAGCTACTGTCATTCTATGTCAATGTCAGTTTGTGACCCCAAGCTTGACTGCTAGCAACAGCTACTGTCATTCTATGTCAATGTCAGTTTGTGACCCCAAGCTTGACTGCTAGCAACAGCTACTGTCATTCTATGTCAATGTCAGTTTGTGACCCCAAGCTTGACTGCTAGCAACAGCTACTGTCATTCTATGTCAATGTCAGTTTGTGACCCCAAGCTTGACTGCTAGCAACAGCTACTGTCATTCTATGTCAATGTCAGTTTGTGACCCCAAGCTTGACTGCTAGCAACAGCTACTGTCATTCTATGTCAATGTCAGTTTGTGACCCCAAGCTTGACTGCTAGCAACAGCTACTGTCATTCTATGTCAATGTCAGTTTGTGACCCCAAGCTTGACTGCTAGCAACAGCTACTGTCATTGTAGAAGCTCTGTAATGTCATCAGTTTCTCTTTGCCCAGGGCGACTGCTCGCTTTCACGTCAGATCTTTTCACATGTGGCGGCTGCAGTGGTAGTTGTTCTGGCTGCATTCGGACAAGCTGATTAAACCATCGGATCTTCTGTGTCTCAATGAATCTGATGCATGGTGTTGTTGCCAGTCTTTCTGCCAGAACCATTTCTCACTTTGTCTCGGATGGTTTAGTTGGCAGGTTTTCTCATTATATCTCATTTTTGAGTAGTTACTTTTCCATAGCTAGCCTCTGATGCTAATCTAAGTATCAGGTCAGAGAGTCAGCTCTGTGAAGGTGGACACAGGTGGACACAGGTGGATACAGGTGGACACTGGTGATACAGGTGGATACAGGTGGACACTGGTGGATACAGGTGGATACAGGTGGACACTGGTGGATACAGGTGGATACAGGTGGACACTGGTAGATACAGGTGGATACAGGTGGACACTGGTGGATACAAGTGGATACAGGTGGACACTGGTGGATACAGGTGGATACAGGTGGACACTGGTGGATACAGGTGGATACAGGTGGACACTGGTGGATACAGGTGGACACTGGTGGACACTGGTGGATACAGGTGGACACAGGACACTGAAGATGCACTGGCTATGAAAGAACACAGGGTGAAGAAATGGCCAGAGAAAGAGTCTTTCAGGCATGCCACGAAGAGAGCAACATTCTGTAAAGGACGTGTTAACTAATAAAACCTTTGATGTCCAAGTTTGGCACTGGTAGCAAAATCTTCCTATAAATACACTGTTCATACCGTTTCTAGGTGGCGATACTTATGTTTGATGTCTTAATAATGGCATCAGCTGTTACACAAAAACAGATTAACGGGATAATATTTTAAAGCAAAGAAATCAAACTAAATAACTGACATGATAGTGAGGATGCCAGCCAATCACCATGAGTCTTCAAGCTTACTTACTTTTCATCAAATCAGGTGACGGGGCGTGGTCACTGTGAGTCTTCAGCCAATGAACGATCAGGCTCTGTCTCTGTGTGTACTGTTTGCCGCACAGACTGCAACTGACTTTGTAATCTGGGTCATGTGTTCGCAGGTGGCGATAAATGGTGGCCACTCCAAATTTCTTCTGACACAACAAGCATCTGTAACGCTTTGTATTGTCCTCCAGAATGACAATCTATTATCAGAAAAGACAAAGCAAATGCACAGCATGGCATCAAGAGAATAAAAAAATAAAATCCTTGTTTTTATCTTTAAATTTTGCATATTCTAGCAGATGGATTTTTCTCTGCCTTAGCATTCACAGACTTTAGCTTAGTAAGCATTGACTGATTTTAGCTTTGTAGCATTCACAGACTTTAGCTTAGTAAGCATTGACTGATTTTAGCTACGTAGCATTCACAGACTTTAGCTTAGTAAGCATTGACTGACTTTAGCTTCGTAGCATTCACAGACTTTAGCTTAGTAAGCATTGACTGATTTTAGCTTCCTAGCATTGACAGACTTTAACTTCCTAGCATTGACAGACTTTAACTTCCTAGCATTGACAGACTTTAGCTTTGTAGCATTGACAGACTTTAACTTCCTAGCATTGACAGACTTTAACTTCCTAGCATTCACAGACTTTAGCTTAGTAAGCATTGACTTGACTTTAGCTTTGTAGCATTCACAGACTTTAGCTTAGTAAGCATTGACTGACTTTAGCTTCGTAGCATTCACAGACTTTAGCTTAGTAAGCATTGACTGACTTTAGCTTCGTAGCATTCACAGACTTTAGCTTAGTAAGCATTGACTGACTTTAGCTTCGTAGCATTCACAGACTTTAGCTTAGTAAGCATTGACTGACTTTAGCTTCGTAGCATTCACAGACTTTAGCTTAGTAAGCATTGACTGACTTTTAGCTTCCTAGCATTGACAGACTTTAACTTCCTAGCATTGACAGACTTTAACTTCCTAGCATTGACAGACTTTAGCTTCCTAGCATTGACAGACTTTAGTTCCCTAGCATTGACTGACTTTAGCTTCCTAGCATTGACAGACTTTAGTTCCCTAGCATTGACTGACTTTAACTTCCTAGCATTGACAGACTTTAACTTCCTAGCATTGACAGACTTTAGTTCCCTAGCATTGACTGACTTTAACTTCCTAGCATTGACAGACTTTAACTTCCTAGCATTGACAGACTTTAGTTCCCTAGCATTGACAGACTTTAGTTCCCTAGCATTGACTGACTTTAGCTTCCTAGCGTTGACTGACTTTAGCTTCCTAGCATTGACAGACTTTAGTTTCCTAGCACTGACTGACTTTAGCTTCCTAGCATTGACTGACTTTAGCTTCCTAGCATTGACAGACTTTAGTTTCCTAGCATTGACTGACTTTAGTTCCCTAGCATTGACTGACTTTAGCTTCCTAGCGTTAACTGACTTTAACTTCCTAGCATTGACAGACTTTAGTTCCCTAGCACTGACTGACTTTAGCTTCCTAGCATTGACTGAATTTAGCTTCCTAGCATTGACAGACTTTAGTTCTCTAGCACTGACTGACTTTAGCTTCCTAGCATTGACTGAATTTAGCTTCCTAGCATTGACAGACTTTAGTTCCCTAGCACTGACTGACTTTAGCTTCCTAGCACTGACTGAATTTAGCTTCCTAGCATTGACTGACTGAAATCTTATTTTTTTCTGTCCACTTGGTCTTGATCAGGGAACTGAAATTTGCATGCATATTCATTTTACAGATCTAGGTTATTTGTATGCAGACTGATGGTTCATTGCCTCTCAGGCAGATGCATTAAGACTGAAAAAAACCTAATTAATTGCCTCCTATGCCATGCTTCTTGGTTGAGGAAAGAGGGGGGGGGGGGGCGTTGATCTATTCTCCATTCTCCAAAATAGGGCACATGAAGCCCACACTGCGAACTGCGGCCCCAATTTGGGGGGGGGGGGGGGCAGTTGCACCCCCAGCCCTTTTCTCTTCTTCACAAGCATGTCATAAAAGGCGACTAATTCTAGATTTGCCTTTAAGGAACAGATATCACAGTGGTTTACAGCTAAGCTGCGATATTTGCACCCTTTACTAAGGAAGGTTGGTGATGACCAGCCATCTCATCCATCCTGGAGAACCTTAGCTATAAATACCCCCCCCCCCCTCCCCCTACAATCATATAGTCTATGAAGAGCCTCACATGGGTTGGTTGAAGGTCAACACCTCTTTGAGAAATGTCCCCACCTGGGTTCTGGAGTCCCTAGTGGGGGAAGGGGAAGGGGGGGGGGGGATTAGACTAAATAACCCCTTCCTTTCTCCTCCCCCACCTTCACAAGCATGTGAAGAAAAGATGCTAACTGAGGATGTGTTGGGTCAAAAGATGCAGATATCACAGCCTAGCTGTAGATCATAATAAAACATGTCAACCGTCCTTTCCAGGGCAAAAAAGAAGAAGTAAAGCAGTTAAAAAGTATAAGAAGAAAAGGGGAAGAAGGCAAATAAAAAGAAGTGGAAGACAAAGAAGAACAAGAATAAGAAGGAGAAAGAGGAGAAGAAAATGAAAAGAATAAGTTCCTTGAGCTGAAAACCTACCTCATACTGGGACTTTCTCTCCCTGACAGGCTTCTTTCCATCATTCTTCGGCAGTCCACTAGCAGCCGCCGCAGCAGCAGGGCCATTTCGCTGCACAGTTCTATCCTGCTGCATTGCAGTGTCTAAACTCCTGGCACTTGTAACACTGCCATCATCATTCAGGGTCTCCTCCCTGCTGTACTGACCGACTCTGTGGTCAGTCAAGTTTCTGGACATGTTCAAAGATGAAGCCAAATTGTTCCTGAGATCTGACACGTCCAGATTGTTGGAGGAGTCCAAATGACCCTCCTCCATGTCCAGGTTGACTGTGTGGACCAAGTTGATGCTCTCCTGAAGGGAGTTGTCGTGGCTCACAGTGCTGCCTCGCCCATTAGCCTCATCATATGCAGCAACTGCAGAGAAAAGTGTATTTGGAGACGGGCTCTGCCGCAGACGGTTCTCCAGATATGCCAGCTCCTGCTGGCCGAGGTTGAAGCCAGCCAGTTCCTGGCTGAATCCACCTGGGTTTGAAGCCACTTGCCTGAGATAACTCTGAATTATGCTCTCTTGTCGACTGTCCACAAATTCACTATCCTGAGGTGCAGCACCTGTGCTGAATGATGCTTCTGAGCCCCCTGTGTGGTTATTGCTTGAGGCATACATTTGGGACTGTTGAGATGATCCTGCCTCCATGCTATATCCAGGACTCGGCAGCACAGTCTGAAATTATAACAAAAAAAATAAAAGTAAAGTAAAGAACCTTTTTCATGCTTTCGGGCATACTCTGAATACAGGGCTAGACCTCTATTTTATAGACCAACTGGCACATGGTGTGTGATGATGTTGGCTTTGTCCATGCTTCCTCCCACCTGCACTGGTGCATTTCTTGCCTGCTAGTCCGCTGACCCATTATGATCAGATAAATAATCGATAAAGTTATCTTAAAAACAGGTCTTAAATCCAATTAATTTAAGAACGTTACAATGACCCCTGACAAAGATAATTTATCATTTAGAAAGCATCTTTTTCTGCATTCGCTCTTTAAAAGGTGGCTGGCATACTGTATTGTCATTTACAGCTAAGCTGTGATATCTGTACCTTTCAACCCAGCAAATCCTATTATGGCAAAGAATTTTTACAAGTGTGGTGGGGGTCTTTTTATTCTATTTCCACTAAATGGGGTCACATAACCCACACAAGGATAACAACTCTACAATAGCAAGCCAATCATAAACAAGTTTATAAATGGCTTGACTTGAGTTGGACAAGGGTATGTGCTTCTTTAGGGATGAGGAGGAGGAGGAGAAGAAGATGAAGTAGTAGTAGTAGTAGTAGATGAAGAAGAAGAAGAAGAGGAGAGCAGGAGTTAAATTAACATAAAGTATTTCACTACCTGTGGTGAGGAACTTGCATGGTGCAGCTGAGTGAGGACCCTGGAGTTTGTGTAGGTGACACTGGGAAAGTACTCTTTGCTCCAAGACTCCAGAGCTGTTTCTGTAACAGAGGGTGATGAGCCCCATGGGGATTCCTGAAGTGACTGATGAGATGCTGCAGTCCACAACTGCTCTTCCTTCTGAGCAGGTGCTGGGAGAGGTGCAGGTGTTGAAGAATCCCACGCGGAAGAGGATGTGGGAAAAGGTGATAATGACAACGATGATGGTGGCATCGATGACGGTGTGGTATTCCAGGATTGTGGCGGTCTGTATGGCAACTGTGAGGGCTGAGTGACAGCAGCTGACAATCTTGATTCTGTAGCAGTCACCAGAGGTGAAGGTTCCCCAGCAGACGCTGTCGGTGTTGTCTGTGCCGAACAAGATGACCATGGCGGTGTCCACTGAGAGAGATTGGATACAGCCGGCACTGATGACACAAGACTTGGCGACGTCCAAGTTTCTAGGGAGGGTGTGGATTCCAGCCCAGTCCGCTGACTAAACTTAAATGTAGAATAAACAGTTGGCAGCCACTCAAACGTAGATCCTGAGGTACTTATTATTTCTGGTGCCAAAGACTGACTAAGTGCTCCGCCAGATGGAAGCACGGCTGATCCCGACAAATCAGATATGGCTACAGCTGATGAAAGACCAACTGATGATGATGTTGATGATGTAGCAAAAGCTGCGGCGGTGGCAGATGGCAATTTTGTGGTGGAGACAGGTTTAGGCACTAAGTCACGCGGGATGAGAACACGGTTACTGTTCCCACCATCAGAGATGAAAAAGCCACTAAACGGAATCAGACAGTCTGCAAAATCAATACAAATAAAAATAAAACAATGTTTCCCTGCTGTAACAAAGGATAAAAGAAGACACATATGACAGTACAATTTACTGCCTGGTAGACTGCACTGTACAATTACAGTAACAACCAAATACAATGAAGCATACAAATGAATCCTGAGTTACTTACAAAAAAACTACACTTAAAAGCAACTACCTGTTTTATCAGGATAAACACAGGGTCACAGCCATAGCAATAAAATGTTTAAACTTGTTTGTGTCTTTTTTCTTTTCCTTGTTCATGCACGCACAAAAAACATGTTATAAGTTTCAGATTCGAACCTGAAATCTGATCATGGTAATGCAATATTAGAGAGACATCTCCCTGTGTGGATTCTAGGGCTCT